CTGCTGAAGCCTGGCCACGCCCTCCTCAGCTCAGCCCTGTGGAAGGGAAGGGAGGCCTGCTCTAGTGCCCCCTGCTTCTAGCCTGAGCCACTGCAGGCATGTGCCTGACATTTTTCAGTCCAGAGGGAATGTCTTTACGGTTACAAACTGGTTTAGCCTAGCCAGGTTAGACTAACCTGCAAAGAGTGAATCAGTTCATGCTCAGGCTTTTTAAATGTCTGTCCCTAGCCCTACTAAGCAGCTCATCCTTTTTATTGCATTTGTTTTGTTTTTTGCTACTTCTGCTAATGTCTCTTTGCTCCTATTGACAGTCTTCCTCTGTTCCTATTAAAACAGGCTCTTTATTTACATGTAGAGTTACATGCAGGCTATTGTTGTATCTGCTACTTAGCTTAAGCTGTGTCTGTTTCTTTCCCAGACTAGAGGAAGGGCACCTTGTGCTGAAAAGCTCATCTAACATCTTCCCCAGCTATACAGTTTGTCTAATAAAATATATCACCCCCCAAATCCTTGCCTTTTACATAGGTCCTGGACAATCATGGCTACAACATCACCTGAACACTTTTCTAATGTAGAGAGAGGTGTTTTTAGTCTGAAGTTAGGCCATGAACGATGCATGCCCCTGGAGGCTGGGGGGGCATGGTGACTTCCCGCAGGCTTTTTTCAGGGGGTGCACTGCCAATCTCAGGGGGTGCATGTGCACCCACTTGCACCCCCTACACATTGCCAGTGCATTAGACAGAAGGCAGGGTAGAGTTGCCCCTTACAGACTAACTGAATCAGAGATGCGTAAGGTTAAGGGAATGGAGAAGAGCTGTCAAATAGGTGCAGAAAAGTGTAAGATTATACATCTCTGATTTAGTTTGTCTAAAAGGTTCAACTCTATCTTGCCTTCTCCTAATGTAGTTTAAACTCTTATTAAAAACAGCTGTCTATCCTCTGAAATCTCACTACTATTTCTCCAAACACAATAAAATGTATTATTTTACTCTGTGATACAAGCGGTAGGGCCTTGTAACATGAATTCTTCTCCAGGTTACATTCCAGAGTTCCAAGTTCCTGCTAGAAACACATTCCACAGGAGACTGTCAGACTGGCATCCCAGTATAAGACCTGATTCAAAGTCCACTGAAGTCAGTAGAGAAATTCCTATGATTTCAAAGGATTTTAGGTCAGGCCCATAATATCCTAAACCCGCACTTACTGTAGGTTATTGTTCCAATAAACTTGTGGAACTCATACCACAGGAGGGTGTTAGAGGTGAAAAGTATAGCCAGGTTCAAAAAGGGACTAGACAAACTCATGGACAATAGGACTATTAATAGCTATTAAACAGAACAGTCAGAGCTGTACCCACTGGCTAAACCAATGATGGTGGCTACTAGGGACAGTAATAAACAGAGGATCAATCATTTTAGATATGCCCAGTTGACATGCTCTTCGTCTAAAGCATTCAGACTCCTGCCACTGTTGGAGACTGGATACTGAGCTAGATGGACCATTGGTCTGCCTCAGTATGATACTTTTTATGTTAGGTTCACACTTGTAAAAGTGTTAAAACTTTAACTAAAAACATGTTATGAATCAAACCAAAAAATACTGTATAGATTATTCCTGCACCTTCCATGAGCAAAAGAAATGGCTTGTTCTTACTTTCTATGCAAAGTGCAGACTGGAAAAGCGTTTCAAAACAGAGTACAAAATTCAAAAGAAAAATGTCTTTGAAATTAAATCAAATCTTCAGGCTCACATAATTAGTTAAATACCGTTTTTCAGCTGGGTCTGAGGTCTGTACTATTTTCAGTGAATTTGGCCTTTTCAAAGTCTTTATAGTAAATCAGCCCCCTATCCACTGCTCAACTGAGACTTTATTTAAGGACTTGAATCAATAATTAAGTCTATCATCCCAATGGAATTTTGAACAAAGGCTTAATTTTCTACAAGGGGAATGAAGGCACTGCTGCCTGCCTCAGGGTAAGAAATCAGTGACTCAGCAATGGGCAGATGAAAGCAGATTGGGTTTAATCTTTTAATCCATACTATGCGTATATTAAAGAGGAGTCTTTGTGATTTGTGTAATTTCTATGTTGTTCAATGTTTATGCTTGTTTTATGTATGAAGTTGTGAACGTTGAGGGAATAAACTTTACTTAGCAATAAGCTACAAAAGTCAGAATCAGATTTTAAATTTGTACTTCATTTAATAGTGCAAGGTTTTTATTTTATTGTTACAAGTGTTTACTAAGTTACCAAAATATTCTATTAGCTATTCATCTTCATGTATGCCTCAAAGACAAAATTACACAAGCTCCCACCAGTATTCATTTACATTGGCTCGGACCTTTATTCTTAGCGAGACTTGCAGCAATGGATTTTGTACAGTTTTAGGGAGTACTGTTGAAACCTTGGATTTAAAATAATTGGAGACAGATTTCTTAAAACCGGACTTCTGCAAGCGCCTGAGCTCCAATACCAAAAATTGGATTTGGATCTCTGGCTACAAGCTATGCACAATATACTGTCATCATTTTCAGTGCTCATCATTTTCCTTTGTTTTTCTCTCCTTTTCCCTATTATCAGTCATCATGCCAAACAATGGAAGATAGTTACATATAGTAAAAGCCTTGTTATCCAGCATGAGTGGGGAATGGGGGGTGCCAGGTATCTAAAAATTCTGGTAACCTGAGGCCGGTGGTTTTCAGTAGGAAGTGGAATGGGGGTGAGTGGGGGTGGTGGCACCTGGATGTGGAGTGGCGGCTGTGCAGGGTGGTGGGTTTCCCTTCCTCCCCCCCACCCTGTGTCAGGCCAGCTGGCCAGAAATTCCAGTTAGAGTAGCTAGTAGAATGCTGGATAGTAGGGCTTTTACTGTACTAAAAAGATGGTTCAATATATTTTTTGAAATACCCAATTTAAAAAAGGTGCTTTTAGTTTTTATGACAACTTATCTTTTGACCACTTCAATGTTCTTTGTAAAGATGCACACAGTCACTATCTATCCTTCATTACTATTTAGCTCTTGAAGTATGTATGCTTTATTTAAAAGATAACTGCAAGATGATACAAATCTCAGAAGGACTACTTGATACTTTGGCACCTTAAAACTAACTCGGACCCTCACCCCAAACCTTCCTCATCATTTCATGTATGTCCACTTTTCTGTACAGTAGTTGGTCCACAAAAGCAACTCTACAGATGATCCAGATTAAAAAATACTGACGTTTTGACCCATCTCCAAAAGAGTTGATTGCCAGCCAATTAAATAGCATTATAATAAAGCATTCACTTGAAAAAGAGAGTTGTGGGTTTGATTAAAAAAAATTCTTACCTTGAGAAACAAAGCTCCCTTAGAAGCCAAGGAGTCTGTTCCTTTTCCATTGGGGTAACAGTGATAGGTAGCATCCATAATTGGATAGCGGCTGGCAAAAAGCAAGCCACTGTTTACAAACTTAAAGCTACAGCAGCCATGGCAACTGTAGACCCCAACATCATACAGAATGTATTCAAAATAGTGATGGAGCTGCTCTTTCAATTTCTCTGCTGCTCTTTTGTCAAATACTTCCTGCAAGCACAGGAAGTCCAAGTTGGCAGGGAAGAAAGCAGAGATCTCATGGTCAAAGGCCTCATCCATATGCTTCTTTTTCCTCACAGAAGTCTTCTTCATGATTGAGGCTTTGTAAAGAAGCTTGTTATTAATGCTGCTTTGGTCCACTGTGCCATCTCCAATGCGAACCTTAACTAGGGACTCTCGTGAGGCAGTGTAGCTGTCTAAACTCCCAGAATCTCCATCTTTTTGTTTATGGTTGGGTGCTTGACCCTTTGGGCTCTCTGAGTCACCCTCTGATGTGTGGTCTGCAGGCCCACTGTTATTTGGCTGGCTAATAACAGTATCCACATCTGGGTCTGAAATGTGACCATTATCCTCTCCACTTATGCGTACTATACATGTGTTATTGTCCTCTCCTTCATTTGGTTCTCCTGCTCCACTTTTAGCATCTCTGCCATCTTCACTGTTGTTTGAACCAGAATTGTCTCCTTTATATTCCATAGATGTTGTCCTTTTGATGCCTACATTAACTGCACGGTTAGTGCCATCTCCACTTTGGGGAGAGACCAAACTGCTAAAACTTGCTGCACTGATGGATGTGTTAGTAGGAGAATCTATATATATTTTGATCTGTGGTCTGCTTGCCCCATTTCGTATCCTTCGTCCAATTTCTTTAGCCCGTGCCTGTGTATTAAAAACATTATTAAACCTTGCCAGGGAGTCTGGTAGCAGGCAAACATTGGCACTGCCAAAGCAGAAACTTTTCCCATTGCTGGTAGCTTTCCATTCAGTGAGTAGTGTAGCTCCATTGACCTGGCTCTTGTCTTCTAGCCTAGAGTAAATATATGGCCTTCTGGCTGACTGGAGAGGTGACCATAAGAAGAAACCAATCAGGGCAAAAGGAAGAGATGCCACCAGGAGTGCCAGGTAGATGGGAGTAGTGATGATGATACAGAGTGCATGAAAGTAGCAGGGGTCATCTGACCTTTGACGTTTTTCATAGCTGGTTGGAACAAAAGAGGCTACAAGCCTGTCTGCAAACCAATAACATGGGAAAATCAGGCCCCAAGAAAAGGAATGCAGACCTGACAGAAAGCTGTTGGGAAATGGGGAAGTGTATAAAACCATTGCAACTGTTATGACAACACTTCAGGGCCTACTACATGATGTCACGGTCAACCATTCATCAAAACATTGGGGTAGGGATCATGAAAAAAAAGTCCAGCCAAGAGTTTGTCTTGCTAACAATAGTCAACAGTATCAGCTTAAGAGTGCCATTTCAATAGGTTGGAGTAAGAGGAAAACAAGGCCACTGTTTCTGTCTGGCTTTTTGGCATCTATATTCTTCAGAAAATGTCATTGCTCACAGCAGGCTGCCATAATGAATTTCTGATGGACGCAGAAGGAAAACCTGTAGAGACAAAAAAAACCCAAAATATAACAATATAATTAACAGTAATTTAAGGTTTTAAGCATGTCTTTCACTTCACACCAGCTTTACTTTGAAATCCAGATATTTTCCTACAGTAAATAGAACGTTTCTTGTTGTAGCTTAATTTTAAATGTCATTTTAATGTCTGTTAAAAATCATTGAATGAAATCTGTTCTCAGGGTATGGCCATCAATTAATTATAATGAGTTAAAAGTATGGGTTTATGTTGGGATTTACCACGCATCAGCTGCTCTGCAGTAACTTTTTTTGTGTGTATCTGCTCTTCTCCCACTGAAAAAAGGAAACTAAACCACAGTAAGCTTAACCCTGTTTCATGCTGGGCTAAGCTAACTTCATTCAGATGTCATAGTTACTGCAAACCTGCTGACTGACACGCAGTAGGTCCTTTCTTCCCCCTTAGCTCTTTATAATTTAGTTATTCTGTCCCCATTCTGCTTTCCACAGTATAAATCTGGAGTAACACCACTGACTTTAGGGATCTTGTACCTCTATAATTAAAATCCAAGTGTGATCAATTTCACTTAAATGAGTTGAAGATCATCCTGAAAAATTCTGTTATAAATTTAAAACCTTAAACTGAGCACTGTGGAAGCAGGTTTTTTAGATTTTATAATCTCCTCGAGTCTTCACTCATCTACTCGTGATGCTATATCACTGTAGCAATGCACTACGGTGATGTAGCATCCAGGGGCGTCTACACGTGACCAATAGCTACTTCACTATAGTAGTATGCTCCCCTGTTATAGCTTGCTACTACAGTGAAGTAGCTGCTAAAAACAACCTTGCACTGCACATACACCACAGAATGGGCAGTTACTGCACCGTGCTTTAGTACTCCAAAAAGAAAATACTAAAGCACAGTGCAGTAACAACATAACCATAGGGCAGGGGCTTTCAATATTTTTTAATAAGTGTACCCCTGATGGACAGACGCAGAGCGGCATGGGGTGGTGGGCAGAGACGCTCCATCCTTGCCTGCCTGTGTGTACCCCCTAGGGCCTTCCCAAGTATCCCCAGGGGTATGCATATCCCCAGTTGACAAATCCTGCCATAGGGCAGCATGTAGATGTGCCCAGTACTAACAAAATACACTGAATCTATACGAGTGTATTTAAGCAATTCTATAAATTAACACATATTCATTCCAACTCTTAATTATGTTTTATCATATCAGAAAAATGTTATTTTTACATGATTTGTGGCAAGCTGAATTTCAATTAAATTCAGTTAAAATGCATAAAGCAATATTTTAAAAACATTTCCTATTAATTAAGTAAAACTATCATATATGTGCAGAATGCATAATAAGGTTGATCAAAGTATGATTTGTATTTCAAACTGATATACTTAACAAATATGTATTATTATCTGTGATAAACATGAACTGATTATTTCTAGCCACCACCACCTCCAAATTCTAGAGCCAGTAGAACTCATCCTCTCAAATGTAATTTTCATTTATATATTGGAAAATGAAAACAAATATTCTTGCTTTTTGAATTCCCAATAGATTTTCTCAACTTAAAATAAAATAGTCATTAAACTGACTCCCTGAATAAACTGAAATGAAGAAGTATTCCTTCTGCCCCAGCAAAAGAGGTAATGGCCCACAAAACCTAGTTTGCACTTAAGCAAAGTCTGATTTTAGGTGTCTAACCAGTGACGTTCAACCAGTGATCTGATTTTCTATAAAATTTAAGCTGTAAGCCTGTACTGTTTACATATATGTTTTAAGTCAATTGAAATTACAGTAAAAGTCTGGACCAAGCCTTAATTTAAAATTAAATTTGTAATGCAAATATATAGGTTAGTTTTTTTAAATGCATTTGAATAAAAGATATTTTAATTATTTAATGTGTTGATTTTTATCAATGCTATTTTTGGGTAGCAGCAGTTACTTCAATTCCACTTTGCTCAAACTTTGAAATAGTGATGTTAACCGAGAGATGGACAGCAGCAAAGATTAAAGCAATGCCACAAAGGGATAAAAAATAAAAGAATTAAAGGATTTTACATTTTTACCTTCAGCTAAACAAATTCAAATCAGTTTCTTTGTCAGCAGAGCTAGTAAGCCCCAGAGTGACAGACTATGAATATTTGGGAAGAAGAGTCCCATTTATAGTTTATTTCAGTGTAAAACCTAGACTTTCTAGTGCATTAAACTATACAGAAAAAAGCAGGCTGTTGAAAGAAAAGATAGGTGTAAGAGCTACAGTTAGACACAGCAGCACTACATTGATTTAATAGATTTCAGATTTAGACAAAAAACAGAATTTCTCTCCCTCTAGATTTCTGTTTCTTCGAAACAAGCTCTTAGTATTGATCTTTGTGGCCATGGCCAGCATGTATCTTTGTCTGTGGTTAATGTGTACTATCAGACTGTAGATTCAGAGTGTCCTCCACAAGATAAGAGAAATATAATATGACAATTCTGGTTTAGCTAGTTCTCCCTCTTTCCCACGCATGTTAAAGGCGATGAGAAATTCTTCCCTAGTTCTAAGTTTTCTTTCCATTGTTCTAAGATCTTTGGATCACATTTCTGCAGTTGGAGGCTTGAAACTGTCTATTATTTATTTGTATTACCAAGGGGAGCAGGACTCTATTGTACAAAGGTATTGTACACAAAACACAAAACAAAGACAGCCCTTGCTCCGAAGAGCTTACATTCTAATCATAAGACAAGAGACAATAGATGAATTTGGACAGATAAGGGAAGTACAAGGAAACAATGAGACAACCCCCCCCCCAAAAAAAACAAACAAACAAAAAAACAAAAAAAACAAAAACCCCAAACAAAAAAACCCCAACAAATCAGCATGAGAAACACGGAGGATGCCAACGTCCTATGACAACTCTTGGCAAGTTTTCTACAGGTATCATAGCAAAGGAAAGTTTTAAGAAAGCACCCAAAGAATATCAAAATTGCTTTGTGAATAAGGGGTGAATGGGAAAAAAGAATGAAGGTGTTAGATTTTTAAAAATAAATATCTAACAAGTAGTGTTGGAAACTGCTATCAAACTGATGAGAGGCAGGAACTGGCCATTCAATGCTGCACATGTCTACACTGCCTGTGCACCATGCCCCAGAATACCACCAGGAAGCAGGCCTCTGCTACAATGGAACTACCTTACAGAAACGTTGAGCATATGCCAATAAGCAGATCCAAGACAAACACCATGAGGGCGACTTGAAACAAATTTTAAGATTGTTACATTGCCTCAGTTTGGGGAGTTGACTTCCTTATCTAGCCAAGTAAATCAGGAAGAGAGTGGCATTACACCAACAGAATCAACATGAATAGGTCTAAATATCAATACTTCACACAGTTATGGATATGCTGATACCAGGAAAAGAGTGCAAAGAGGAAATGTAAGAAATACCCTCCCTAAACAGCCTACAGTTTGTTTGAGAAGAGGCATGCCCTCTCTATCATCCTGGCTAAGTACAGACAGACAAAAAGTCCAGAGCTGAGTCGATTCAATCTTTGCAGGTTAGTCTAAGCCCCATAGATTGAACAGATAAGCAAGTGAACAGACATTCGCTTTTGATTCCAAAAATGTAGCCACATGCCTGCAGTGGCCCAGGCCACAGCCTGGGGGGTGCTAGAGCATGCCTTCCTGCTCAGGTGGAGCAGAAGCTTGGGCCAAGGCTAGCCCACCCACTCTATAAGGAGGGGTATGCAGGAGAGGTTCAAAGCATCCTGGGATGCTGGGGGACTGTGAGTTAACTTGAATCTGGAGGGGATATGGGACAGAAGTTCAATAAATCAATTTAATTTAAATCAGTTAGGATGCAGACAGAAGTGAAGCTCCCTGCAGTAACTGAGAACATTTTGCAGGAATTATTTTGAGTCACAATGATCACCTGGAACAAACAGAAGTTCACTGTTGGTTCCAGGGGCAAGGGGAACGTAGTTGTTGGCTGTGAGCCTGAAGCTGGTTTCCCCTAGCAGCGGCCCCTGCTCCCTGTGGGGCTGCAAAGTTTCAGAGTGGGAGGGGAGAAAGGGAGCAGAGGGAGCTCATTCTAGGGGCTTCACAGCTGGTGCTAGAGGGTGGGGTGGGTGAACTGGAGACCCTCCTCATTGGGGGGAAGGAGGGGGCTCCAGTATGCCTGCCACACCTTCCAGTGGGGGCTGAAAACCCTCCAAACCAAACTCCCCCTACTTCTTTCCTTCCTCCCACTCTGAAAACAGCTTGGAGGCTGGGAGGCAGGCAGACCGAAGTTACAGAAGATGCTCTGTTTTGAAATGTCTTCATCTGACCTCTTGTGCAATGAGAGGTCAGCTTTTCACCTGACTGACCATTTCTGAAGCAGTCTGCAGCCGTGCACCTATGTTTGGTCATGGCTATAGACTGCTTTTTCCACCTAAATTGGGTGAAAATTGTCACTTTTTTCCTGCTCCCTGCAGTCTGATAGTACATCCATCCAGGTTTATCTTAAACTAATTTCAGCCACTTTGAAAGAAGTTTACATGCACTGAACTTCTGTTGTGTTACAGATTTGACCTGGTTTCCAATCGCTTATACTGGTTTATGTATAATTTCTGTCCCTAGTCGCAAAGGTCAGTCATATCCTTCTCTAAAATTAGGAGAACAATGCTATTTACTAGAGTTGCAGACAGCAATTCAAATTCTGTCAGTCTCTTGGCTAATGGAACAACTCCATCCTCGGCAAAGAATCTGACTCAAGGGAGTTCTGTTTTCTTTAAATCACTTCACATGCTTATATAAAAACTCAGTTATGCAGCTTAAAATCTATTTTGTCAAATTAGGCAACCTACCTATTTACCAGTTGTCATTAACACATTGGGGTAGTGTTCTCCATAGGAAAGCTGACAATTTTGTTCTCTTTATTTGTTCCAAAAGATTTTTTGAACTTTTTAATAACAAGACTGTACTAAAGGTAACCTTTCCAGTCTGGCATGTGCGCATGAAAGTAACTTAAACCCAGTCAAATT